CCAGCCAGCATGGCTGGCTGGGGGATTCTGGGAGTTGAAGTCCACACATCTTAAAGTTGCTAAGGTTGAGAAACACTGGTCCAGAGGCTCAGTGGGATAGTCCGGTTCATATAACATGCTCAAATAAGGACTTCATTCCCACCACCCGCTGAATCCCAAACTCCCTAACCCTATTTCAGCCTAACTGGGTGAACCTGGCAAAGAGAGGTCTTCCGTGGCTGCCAGCCATCCCTTGGGGTGGGGAGAAGGTGAGTCAACAGGGCACCCTTACCTGGGCTTGCACAGCCAAATGGAAGGCGCCCCGTTTGAAGGGCAGCATGGAGCCGTTGTGATTCCTGGTACCCTCGGGGAACACCCAGACCCGAACCTGCCAAGGGAGCCAAAGGAGAGGAAGAACTGAGTCCCTTTCATCAAAGATCTCTGGGTTCACATGAAGCCACACAAGGGTTAAGCAAAGAATCCATACTATTGAAAAACGGGTGCTTCGTGAGTGGGTACTGTCAGCCCCTGTGATCAAGGCTATCAGGAAGGAGGGGGTGCATGCCAGGAGGGGGGAGGGGCAAGAGGCAACATGGTCCGCAGGGGGAGCGTGGGAAGGGAAAGAGGTTCAAAATAGCTGCTCCCTAGAATTTCCCAGGGTATTAGATTTAGTTTGGCAAGATTCTGTCTATAAGGTATAGCCCAATAAAGGAACTGGACTCAACTGAACTGTTCCATCCTTGTTCTTGGGCTGGGCCTGACAAATCTTGCCAAACTCTTTGATGTCAGGCCCAGCCCAAGAACAACGATTGAATGGTTCAGTTGAGTCCAGTTCCTTCATTGGGCTATACCTTATAGACAGAATCTTGCCAAACTAAATCTATACTACAGCAACTAGTGGGTATACCCTGGGAGATTCTAGGGAGTGGCTATTTTGAACCTCTTTCTCTTCCCACGCTCCCCCTGCGGACCGTGTTGCCTCTTGCCTCCTCCCCCCTGAATGGTTCAGTTGAGTCCAGTTCCTTCATTGGGCTATACCTTATAGACAGAATCTTGCCAAACTAAATCTATACTACAGCAACTAGTGGGTATACCCTGGGAGATTCTAGGGAGTGGCTATTTTGAACCTCTTTCTCTTCCCACGCTCCCCCTGCGGACCGTGTTGCCTCTTGCCTCCTCCCCCCTCCTGGAATGCACCCCCTCCTTCCTGATAGCCTCGATCTCCCCCATCGCTCTCGTGCTCATAGATACCTTCCATCACAGCCCCTTGAGGTAGTTCAGACAAGAAGAATCAACCATGAGTACTAGGACCACCTTTATTGTAAGGTTACAATAACACAATCTTGCAACTCCAAAAGTACCTCTCCCTTCTCTTACTTTTACTCTCCTGAAAACTAGGGAGGGTCCCTTCTGGGATGCTTTCTCCACCCCCGCCCCTCCTTTGGACTCAGATTTCGTTGATCAGACTGCTGTCTAGACTGCAGCTCTTCCTCCTGTCTCCCAAGGTCCTTCTCGCAGATCATTACAGCCATGTCCTCGATAACAGCTAATTTGCGAATGAACTGCCTCACTGGCAGCCATTTTGTGAGAGTGCCCACAACCTATTTTATTTTTATTGCCGTCCAGCGCAACTCTGGGCAACGTGCAAAATAACAATAATAAGAAACAGCAATGTGTGTAAGTTTAAAGGAAAAAGCCTAGAAAAAGCAACATCTAATAATCATCTCACAATGGGTCTGTCACCAACTCTAGCCCAAGGTTTGGGGGAAGTGACAGATTTTAAGGGCTTAAAATAAAGTTTAAGGGATTAAATAAGGTCAGGGTGGGGGCCATGCGACTCTCAGGGAGAAGGTTGTTCCAGAGGGCAGGTGCCAGGACAGAAAAGACCCATTTCCTGAGTCCCATCATATGACACTGTTTAATCGATGGGATCTGGAGCATGCCTACTCTGTCCAATCATAGATGGGCAAAAATTATTAAAGATAGTGAACCCTCATGCTGGCTGGGGAATTCTGGGAGCTGAAGTCCATACAGGTTGTCAAGTTTGAAAAATACCAGTCTACAGGTTTCTAAGGAGGTTCCTTGCTCTAGCCAGATCTTACAACTCTGGCCTACTAGACTATCCCAGCCTTATGTCCCAGGAACCTCTTCCCCAAATCTCAGAAGCTGCTGAGAAGAAGACACAGGTCCAGGTTTGGGGAGACGAATGCAAAGTTGCTGCCTTCTCTGCCTTAATAAAGGGTGAAAAGTGTGCAGCAGAGTTCCAGTCTCACGCAAGATTCAACATATGAACAATGCCCCAATTTCTTCTATGCCAGCACACTGAAGATGGGGCCAACATTCTTACCACAATGGTTTGCAACATGATGCCTAACACCAGCCCATAACTTTCCAAAATTAAATTGTATAAAAGAAATGGACAAGGTATGCAAGGTTGCGAAATGTTGGGAGAGCTCTATGTTCTCACATGGAATTTGGCAGCTTGTGAGATTTCAGATGACAACAGGACATATATGGGCTATTGTACTGCACCTAGGGTTTCCAAAGATAGTTGACTGTTGCCCAAACAACATGACAAGGCCAGTCATACTAGAGGTGCACAACTGAGGTTCAGAAAGCATAGAATTTGGCCCCTAGAATTTTTCTGCAAGTTTCCACTAGATGGTATTTTTAATGCGAAAATAAGGACCTGAATTTTGGTGCACAGGGTTAATCTGATCGACTGCATGAAATTTAGTATCATTTTAATTCAGTTTAGGTCCAATTTAATGGGAGTTTTGTTCTAACCCCATTTCCATCTTTGCCCTGGGCTTGCTGACTTTTCCCCATGTGCTCCCCAGTATACTCTACACCTGTGTTTCTCAACCTTGGCCACTTTAAGATATATGGACTTCAACTCCCAGAATTCCCCAGCCAGTATGTTACAGTTGATGAATCAGAACTAATAGGAGAACATATGATGAGAAACCTTATCTCCTTTTGTGACAGTTCCCAGATTAATAGATCAGGGGAATGCCCTGGACATAATGTATCTCACTTGATGAATGGTTGTTTTGTAGTTTTTGTTTACCACTCCAATTATTATTAGGACACTAGGATCTGGACCTCAACAAAGCATTTGACATTATGTCCTCATTAATGGTAAATTAATCAGTGTGTTCTCAATAATGGGAAATTATAATCTATATCAGTGTTTCTCAATCTCAGCAACTTTAAGATGTGTGGTCTTCAGTGCCCAGAATTCTAGTCCCATGCTGGCTGGGGAATTCTGGGCACTGACATCCATGCATCTTAAAGTTGCTCAGGTTGAGAAATGCTGGTTGAGAAATACTGGTCTAGATGACACTATTATTAGATAAGCTTTGTTGGCTGAGTGATTGCACCCAAATAGTATCTGTTAATAGCTCCAGCCTGAAGGGAAGTGATCAAGTAATGTGTCCCAGGGCCCTGTGTTGTTCCACATTTTCATTAATGACCTAGATAAAGAGCTGAGGGGATGATTACCACATTTGTATATGTCACAAAATGAGGAGGAGCAGCTGACACTTTGGAAGACAAAGAGAAGTTTCAAAAAGATCAAGACAAGCTTGACCAGTGGGCCAAAACCAACAGGGTATTTTAAGAGGGAGGAAAATATAGTCTTGCATCTAGGAAAAAAAAACACAAAGCACAAGTACAGACAGTCCTCTACTTACGAACTTCTGAGTTACAAACTTTCGCTGATATGAACAAACCTGTCTGCAAGGCAGGAAAGGGTTAGTTTATGGTGTGCCACATGTGTATGCTTGGCAGCACCATTGTGCATTGGGAGGCTGAGCGTTTTATACTCGGTTGGGCTTATGAACAAAATGGACTCACAAACAGTCTCTTGGAATGTAACCTGTTCACAAGTAGAGGACTGTCTGTATAAGACTGGGGAGACCTGGCTTGGCAGAGTGTGTGTGAAAAGGATCACAGTGTTTTTTTCGTGGACCACAAGTTGAGTGTGAGCTCACAAGGGGATACCACTGCTAGAAACGCAAAGCTCTTTTGGGATGGATTCAAACAAGCATAGAGTCCAGGTCACAGGAAAAAAATTGTACCATCTATTCTGTCTTGGAAGACCCCCTCCCTCCTGAAATCTGTATCCAGGTCTGAACACCACAGTATAAAAAGGACAGTGACAAACTGGAGCAAGTTCAGAGGAGGGCTAACAAGATGGCAGGGGGACTGCAAATCAAGTGGTGCAGGATCAGAACCAATGGGCTGGAACTCCTGAGAAACAGATTCAGCTTAGATCAGTGTTTCTCAACCTTGACAACTTTAAGATATGTGGACTTCAATTCCCAGAATTCCCCAGCCAGCCAATCTGGGAATTGAAGTACACAGATCTTAAGGTTGCCAAGGTTGAGAAACACTGGTTTAGATATTAGGAGGAATTTCTTGACAGTAGGAACTGTCAAGCAGCAGAACCGGTTGGCTCACGATGGGGTATGCTCCCTTCCCTGGCGGTCCTTAAGCAAAGGCTGGACAGCCATCATCCGAAACGTTTCATCAGATCCTGCACTAAGCAGAGGGGCTGGCCTAGCTGATTTCAGAGGACCTGTCCAACTTAGATTCTACAAGTTATGCAGCAAAAATTTGGCCATGAAAACACATGCTATACAGACATATAACCCAGTGACCCAAAATAGCCCCATCCTATGAGACAGTCCTTCCATCAGAAGTTGCTGCCTCATTGTAATAGCCAATGACAGAAACTGAGCCACTCACAGATTCCACCTTGAAGTTTCCAGCAAATATTTAGCCCAAAACTGAGTGGATCTGCCAGGCAATGCAGTCTGTATAGGTGCAATCAATTGCCGGCAGGGCCCTGTACAAAGCAGCAGAATAGAAAAATATGCTCTGAGGACGCCTGCTGATTCGACAGGCAAATCCATCTAGGCAGGAGGATCCAAGGACACTCCTCTAGTCACTGAAGCATTTGTGAAAGGGGTACAGTCTGTTTTGTCCAAGTGAAGGCAGTTTGGTAATGAGGTACAAGGAAGGCTCTTAAGAAAAGCCGCCGGCTGAAAAGCTTTCTCAGACAAAATACCAAAATGGTTGAGTGAATGGGGTGAATGAGCATAAACCGAAAGAAGAGAATATCTGTAGCTCAGGGTTGAACCATGGAGTCCTTGGTGGTCTCTCAGCTTGGTGGTTTGTCTGCAGACGTTTCATTATCCATCCAGGTAACATCATTAGTGTGAGGGAGTGTGGGGTTTGCTCCCTGACAGTGTTGGTGGGGGTGTGGTGTTCTCCTTGGTAGTTCTTTATTAGGGTGTTGTTTTCTGCTAGATTGTTTGTCTGGTGCTAATCCCTGCTTCTCTGGGCATTGGCTGCTGGAGAGGATGTATTCTGGTCTTTTTGTTTCCTTCTTAGCTTTTTTATTGTCT